GATTTATTAATAAAGATTCCTGCAAGAGATAATACTTACATTCAAGATGTGAGTCCCATAATGGCAGGTAATGCAAGTTGGGGGAACAGTCTCACAGACACCAATTCCTCCAGCACATGCCGACTGGCCTTGAGACCCAGGTGACACGTCTGTTGTAAATAAAGGAGCTGTAGCACATACACAAAATTACTCACAACTTCAAGACCCTGGTCATGAGCTAGAAGACCAGAGTTAAATCCCCATCTCTCTCACTTATTAGATGTGTAATTTAACCCTGGAGAATTCCTTAAAATATCTCTGCATGTTATTGTTCTCAACCACAAAACATGCCACAATTTAGGCAAACCTACATAGGTCCTATGAACACCCACTTTCTAAATTTTTCTGAATGTTCACAAAGGTGTCAATCTATAAATGTGGTGTTTTCTTTAATCCACTTCTCTTGACTTTGGGTACTTGAAAAGCTATGATTTCTATTGCACCCATTGTTCAATTCCCATCTTTTTAAAAAATTTCTCCATTAAGGCTTCTTGAGTTCCCATTTAAAGTCTTACCTTTTCCTTGATTGTTTCATATCACAGTGGATAACTTAACTTCTATTTCTTAACATTACAAGTATCACATTATGATTACAGAGTATGTTGTTTATTTGAAAAGTTACGGGGCATTAATGTCAACCTAAGTTTGAGCCTAGACTTAAATACTATTGACAAGACCATCAACAAAGAATGTTTAACAATTATTTTAGATGAGACCCATTAGTTCCATTTTATAAATAAAGGAAATAAGTTTAGAGATGTCATTTCATTTAATCTTTCCTTATCAACTCTATAGCCTAATTCTTGAGATGGTTAATGCTCAATATATGTAGGAGACACAATTCTTTCCTTTTAGATAATCTATCAAGTCAGGGGGATTTTAAATTGCATGACCCAATTACAGTACGATTGGGTAAAAAATACCAGCACTGAAATATAATATCAAGAGTATATCCATGTACAAAAAACAGTATACCATGTGATATGTAAATTGTGTTGACTAAGAAAAAATTAAAAAATAAAAATAAAAATGATAGAATTTCTATAATCACTGTAAAGAGTAATAACTACAATGATGATATATGCAACACTGGCTAACTGAGTAACTTTGCAAAGAAACTTTGTATAACAAGTAAAACAGTACTGGAATTGAGGAAAATAAAAATACGTTGAAAACTACTTCTTGCAAAATACATTCTATAATTATTTTCTCCACAAAAGCACAATAACATAAAAACACCTAGTCCAGCTTCACAATGTGATACATTTAATTCTAATCCCAGGTATCATGAGCTATTATTTTGTTCTCAAATAGAAAGCTGCATTTAAAATCCTTTATCCTCAATCCAATATCTTTCAAATTCAAGGTTAGAGTCAGAAAAATATAAAATAAAAAGCTACCATTCCAGGTTTTTGGTCGTGTGTGAGATTGAGAGACAAAACATTATAAATATAAATGAATCCCATGTAACTTAATTGGGTATGTGTGTGTGTGTGTGTGTGTGTGTGTGTGTGAATAGATTTGGGTGTGTGCGTGTGTATACATATTTTTTTTTCTTTTCAGTGTTGATATTCATGTTTAAATTGTGCATTTATATAGCTTTTATAGTGATGCCCACTGTTACCTTATCTTTTTGACTGACAATGATGAGATTTCAGTCATGCTCAGCCTTTCCTACAGTGCCAGTGATGGGATTTTTTGAAACCTTATTACTGGTTGCACTGCCCTGATCTCAGATGGAACTTTCAATCAAAAAGGCAATCAGAAGGTTATACATTCGTGAGATTCCCTGCAAAGCCAGTGATCGCATAATACAATGTGTTGGAAGGGCCTACTTGCCTCCAGTTCTTATGTGGCTATAAAGAGTAATTGGCTACTTAGCTCTCAGCACCCGCTTCCCTTTTTCCAACTACAGCACAGCCCAGAACTCTGGGTCTCAATGTGGAATCTGGCTGCTCCTAGGAGATTTCCAAGCCTCATGGAGGGACTTGTTTTTCTTTAAGCATCTGATTAAACAAACTCTCCCAAAGACACATTTGGCTCTTTCTGAGCATTCTTGTTTCACTGATGTTGCCAGTGGGTTCAAGTTTTCCTTTAGTTTATATACACAAAAACACTTACCCACAATTTTTTTCCAAAACATTATCATTGTAAAGTTCATATCCCAGAAATCACAATCCTGTATGGCAAGGATTAACCTCTGAATTTAGTTTCTAGCATATTTTAACTAGCCCATTATAAATTGTTTTAACTCTTAAAATAACTATGCTCATCAACGATTATTGTGATTTGATTTGATCAAATAGTGGACAGGGTCAAAATTTATTTGATCCCATGTGATGTCCAATTTCCCAGGGATGCATCGGTTCCCCAGACAGGAGATTTACATTGTGAGGCAGGCAGAAGGAGAGACTTTTTGTCTCACTTAGCTCCAACTCAGTGTTTCATCTCCATGTAGCAGAGAACTCTTGGGCAGGGATAAGTTTCAAGAATGGAAAAGGACTAATGTTTGGGACATAGTAAAGACCTACAGACACATTAAAATGCCTGTAGACTGAAGAGCATTTTATTTGAAAAATATCCACACATGTATATTTAAGACCTATGTCATTATTGCTGCAACAGAAAACAATATACAGAGATATAAAATAGTCACTGATAAAGTTAAAAATGTGCATTATTTAAAGAGTTGAACATGGGTTACTAAAATCCTAAAAGTTTCAGAACCCCAGTGACCTCTTTGGGTTAAGGAAGTCCTAGAAAGTCTATTGTTTAAAGTATTTAAGTCAGGTTGAGTGTGTGTTTCCTCATATGTTTGTTTAAATTCAGCATACTCTGAAAATATGGTTCAGCCCTACTATGAACATGATGTTATCTACTTGATTCTATATTATAAAACCTTAAATGGATTTTTAAGCACAAATTGTTAGCATGGTGGTGGCAAAGAAAATCAGCAAGAGATTCACACTTCCTTTTTCTCTTCCTGGATGAAATTAATTTTTAGGTAATATTTAGGCAACTGGTATACCAGGCATCGTGTCCTTCCTATGAAAAACACTGTATAGAGATTATCCTATTAATTTTCAACATTGAAGGACATGGATTCTATATTACTGAAAAATAGCATATTTTGTTAGACTTGTATATCTGCAATCCATGGCACTTTATTGAGAAATATAGTAGAAATGAGTCTGGTATGCTAGAGATAAGTAAAGTAATAATCTCACCTTGTTTCGAATGTGAAAGATAGTTAGAATATCAATATTGATTACTATGACAACTACTATTAATGATCTAAATTTACCAAGTGTCTGTTGTAGGCACTGTGCCAAGTCCTGGTGTATTTTAAAGTCATTCTGGGTAACCACTTTTATGTCAAGAACAAGTGTTCAATAGCCAGAGTGATAAGCACAAAGGACAAATGATGAACTATTCTCAGGCAACAAAAATTCAATAAGGACTAGCTTGAGTCACTGGATAGCTGTAAATTCTAAGTATAGTATTCAAACATTTTGTTTCCATCCCATAGAAGTAGCCTTTAGAAGTTGATGCCTTCCTAGCCAACGTCATCAGGCAGCCCAAGCCAATGCCTGAGATGGCAGAGGAAATACAGCTTATTTTTGACCAATGAGAGACTCTTCTAACAGGCCACCTTTCACCCAGAACCCCCTATTTTGCTGGCAGAGACTGGCCAAGTCTGTATTGCAGTCCAAGACCTGTGCCAAATTCTGCTTTCTAGTCTCTTTACTTTTAGAAGTTATTAGATGTGCATCCCTATCTAAAGGCTTTCCATGATCAATCATGCTTTCTCTTTTACCTTTTACTCCTAACTCTGTTTCGGTGTCTGCTTCCAGGAGGACCCAAGTGACACAGTTAGACTGGCCTTTAAATACACCATGTTCCTTTAATGTCCCTGTTGGTATCTTAATGTGTGATCATCACCAAGCCATTTCTTTTCTCTGATTCTAACAAAGACTCTTACAGATAGAAGGGATCTTTGCGATAATTTAGTTGCACGTTCTAGAATTCTAGATGGACTTGATGACTCTGTTCATAGGTCTTCCTCTGATTGGCAAAGAAAAAGTGATGACAACAAAGGTATTTATAAAAATATATTTCACAAAGTAGGAAACAATACAGGAGTTTCTCTGAATACAATAAATGGAGTAAATAAACAATATTGCATTAAAGCAAAGTAGAAAATTAAAATGATCTGCATGTAGTACTTGAGTTGTATCATACATTTTCTACTCCTAAATGGCAGGTTTGCATTACAAATTGAGTACGCTCACATCTTCTAGTGCTGTTCTCTTTTGGAGTCTAAGACGTTCTGTGCATCACCATGAAGACCAGGGAGAGAAGTGCTAAAAACAGAAGCGGTAAAATTATGTACAAATCAGTTCCTGCTCTCAAACAGTGGGGGCAACTTGAAGCATCTTTGTTGGGCAGGGCATTATATAGGTATCTAAAAGTCTAGAGTTTAAATATTCACATGAGTCAATATACTTTCAGATGTTTGTGCTTGTAGTAAAAACACCAAATACGAGGATTATGAACAAAATAGAAAACAGTCCAAAAGTTTCTCTGGGAAAATGCTGTTCCTGCCATCACCAGTCACAATAACACTTTCTAATCTAAAGAGACTATTAGCTCCCCTTTTGATAATATTGCCTGCCATACTCATCTCATCAAAATGTACATGTATTAAACATTCATTGTGTGTGTATATATATATATATATATTTATATAAAACAATCTAAAGGATTATTAATGGATATAATTTAGTTTTCCATATAGTCCCTTAATCTCTAATTACCAACCTTAATAAATAAAAGCATTAATGGACATCAATAAAATATTTATTTCGAGAATTAAACAAATAAATTCACGCGCTAGCAATAAAACCATCTGTTTCCTATGTAGTCCACTGTGTGATCTAGTTTATCTTTGTGTCCTTGTGAAAGGAGATGAAGTGGAGGGAACGAGTAATCCTGCATCCAGAAAACAAGCCTGTTTCATGGGATTTCTCTCCTCCCACCACTGAGTTGGCAATCCCCACCCTGGAATGGATTACGAACATGTGAATATTTTAAGGCTCGACACAATATTTAAAGATGCTAGTCAGTCTCTGATGAGCGGGGCCAACAATTACGTACAATGTGTGGTCACCGCACCATATATCTAGGAGGCCTCCTAAAACTCCAAAAAGTCAGAATGTACAGCCGACCAAGTATTGCTTTATCATTTGTGGCGGGATCCTTATTGGTGAAGGGGGGGAAAAAAAAACACTTGCATTTATAAAAATCCTCGCAGAACACACATCTCAGCAGCAAATTCCTTGCGGGTCCATTTTTTTTCTAAGAAAGCACCTTTTTAATTTTGATTTTCTTTTTCCTCTTTTTATACCATCTGTCTAAAGATTATCCAGGATCCCAATCTTTGTCTGTGGTGGTAAATATCAAATATCCAAAGACTTCTAGACACTCCACATACTTTAATTCACACTCCACAAGATTTGTAACCTCCTAACATATACTTTTTATTATTATTTATCTTTTTTTTTGGTTCCACATTAAAATGTAGTTGAGTTGATAGATGATTGGTGCTAGACTTGCCTCTAAAACAAATAGCCACATTGGTTGTATCTAAGGGGAGTGACCCTAGAATATTACAGAATGTTCGGTTCCATTGATTTACTTATAATCCACTGTCAAGTTTCTTTGTCACTTTCACCAACGGAGTACAGTTCGCCCAGTCTCTTAAAGCGGGGACCCCAGTCACTGAGGTAGTCAAAATTCTGGTCTGAGTCTGACGTGGAGGACTCTAGGGAGCTGAGGGAGCCGGCCACTGAGCCCCGGCCTTCGTAGCCGTAAATCTGGATGGAGTCATAAGGGGGCGCTGCGGGGTCGTTATCGGCTTCGTGGAGCCGCACGTTTATAAATTCGTCCACGTCCACACCGTTCGGGACCGGAGCGAGCCCCTGCCTTGGCATAAACTGCAAATCCGGCTTAATATCCTTACGGGGTAAAAACCCATTAATTCCGTCTGGGTTTTGTAAAGTTGCAATATCAAAAGCCTCTGTGTCTTCCTCCCCTCCTCCTTCGTCATCGTAGCGAATGATATTTTCTCGGACGTCTTCGTCATCCTTGATAATTAACGGCTCGTTTTTATGTCGCCGCAGAGTTACAAACAGCACCACGATGACTGTAGGAAAAAAACAGCAACAACATGAAATGACAATGAGCTCAAGTCGCATACACGGTCGTGAGCAACACACCGTGTGTCTTAAGAGAAAGGGGCATTATGTAAAAACGTGTGCGCTCATAGCTTTAATAACATTGACTGGAGAATGAAGCGAAACTCCTGTCTGAAGGAATGGGCACTGCGTTTTGAGTAACTATTTTTTCCAGGTCGCTTCTGTTTATTAAACGGTGATGAAGCTGGAGGAAAAGAAGGAGTTCGCACCTATTCATTGCAAAAGCTTCACTGACCACTGTTATAAGCTCCAGAGTGAATGGCACAAAAATAGAAAACAGGGCCGACAGCATAACTAACTTTCTGTGTATCTTGGGCGAGCCATTCAACATCCTTTGGCTTCACGCTCCTGATTTATAAAGGAAAGGGGAAGAATGGGTCGTATCTCGTATATTTTGTGTTTTATCGGTTATTCAAGACTGTCCCATCAAATAATGTGCATTCACAGATGAAGTGATATGTCGAGATGAATGTCAAACCTGCATGGGTAACTTCTTGTCTTGTGTGAAGGCTGAAACTCTTCTACATGGGAAGGTAGACCTGAAGGTGGAGGAGAGGGGAGGGACACGTGCCCAACTAGCCAGTTCAGCCAACTCAAACTTGGGCTAACGGGATAAACTATATCAGGAAATGATGCTCAATCCAGGGCACTGAATCAACTGGACAGATGCAACAGGGAAGGTAGTCACTGACATAACCTTTATTTAAGCAGTATAGGATATAACTTTTCTTTTGCATATCTTCCTACCATCGAATCTCATTTTTATAATTGGATTTTTTAATGGAAAAGTTACAAAAACCTTTCCTTAATTTGCAGTTTTCATTTTAATTTGACTTTCGTGTCAAGAAATATATCTAAGGAAGACAAAGTAATTTTGAAGAAAATGGATTTTTTTTTGTTTGCTTGTTTGTTTTTCTTTTTATCTCGCCAGACTCTATAATTGGATGGACTCAGCAATTCAATCTCTACCCTGTTTAGATAAAAGAGTGGTTTGGACATACGTGAGCCAACTGATGTGCATCAGACCTGGAGGTCTTTCTAATAGACGCTGTTATAATGACAAAAAGGCCCATCTCCACTTCCACCACCATGTGCTTAGTCTGTTCCTTCCTCCTCCACGGATGATGGGATAGAAAGAGGCAGGAAATAGTCCTTTCAATTGGACGTTTACTATCACAGCCCTTTTCCTCTTCACCTCCTCTTAGTGACCTCAAAGCTTGGAGAAATACAAGGAAGTTCCTCTTCCCCCAAAGAATGCTGGCGCCTCATGAGGTCATGTTTGCTGTCCTTACTTACAGTCACTTGTGAACCAGGAAAATGGTGACCATTAGGCTACAAAGGAAATACGTACCTAGCAGCAAAACGATGCATGCTAATATGGCAATTAAGGCGCCCATGCTGAGTCCAATAGGAAGAACATAAGCTTCAACATTACAAGACTGGACAACACCATCGTTGCTACAGCCACAGACCCGGATGGTCAGGGTGCTGGTGCTGCTCAGAGGAGGGTTCCCACTGTCACTGATTATGATTGGTAAAAGATAGACTTCTTGCTTCTGGCGGTTGAATCCATTATGCTTTGCCAAAATGCTGAGGGAATTATCTGGAAAAAATGAAAATTACAATATGTTCGCATCCTTTCAAAATGGCTGCCCACACAAGACTTGTTTTTCTAGTTCATAAACCCTCTACACACCTCAAGACAATCCCAACTCCACCAAACCACTCAGGCTCTTCCTCCTCTCCTCTTCCCGTGGACCAAAATACCCACATGCTGACACGTTCAGTGAGTCAGTCCCCAGGATAAAATAATGGAGTTTTACCATCATCTTGTAAATGGAAAAGATTTCTTCCATAAAAAATAACCTTCAAGTTATTTCAGAAGACACAGATTACTCCAAGTCCCCATAAATAAGTTTAATTTTCTTTCACTTATACTGATAATGCTAAATTGGCTGGATAGAATTTCACCACGTTTGTAAGGCATGTTTGAGAAGCTCTGTATTAAAAGATAGACTGCATGACGATATGGTGTACAAAACTGTGCACTTCATTGACTCCCACGGGTACCTAAAAAGTCATCCATGCCCTGGAGCATTTATACTAAGATTTAACAAAAGTCCCATTAGCTGCCAATTGGAGGAGACATGCCATGTATATAAAAATTTTGTACAGAAGACCTGTACTGGTTACACAAATAAGAATAAAATGGAAAATCATAGCAACTAGTGTTCCATTTTGCATAATTAACTATACAGAGATTCATATTGGCTATCTGAGGCAACACTTAGGGACATTTAAGCAATATTTAAGGGCATACTTCAGTTCAAAGCAAAACTGGTCAGTGAGAAGTGATTGGTCCCATGTTAAGCCTGTGGTTCTCAAAATTTTACCCCACAAAAATGATTTTTTTGTTGTCTTTCATCTCTATCTCACAGACTATAGTCATATTGGATATATTAATTATTAATCTATTTCCTCATTTTGATTGATGAAAGATATGTATCTAATCAAAATGGGAACACTGATTATCTCAAACTGGTTTTCCAATCAAAAGTAAGTAAACATAATTTTGATAAGTGTGTGCAATATTTTGGGGGCACAATGATTATTTCAGTTGTGAATTTTTCAAATATTGGCAAGTTTGCAGACCCCAGAGCACTTGGCTACCTCATTGTTGTATGTTATGCAGGGATTCTAAACCACTGCTGTCTAATTCCTGGTCATCAGTGTCCTAATGGTTACCAGAATATTCAAATACTTGAACAGATATTCTTCTCAAATGACTTGAAATAAATGGGTTAAATCTTCCATACCATATAGTACTACGCCAAGGTTTAAAAAAAAAAGTAGTCATTCCTTAAAATAGATGTATAAATTATATATTGCTTTGTTTAAGATAAAAGTGGACCTATAATGACTTACTTGTTATTAGGCAGGAAAAGAAAAAAAAGAAACACACTCGGACTAAGATTTTCCTTTTCTAAATTTCTTCCCATTGTACTTTCTTATTTAGTAATTTGAAGACTGAAAAGAAGTCTCTAATGGGGTTAAACAGTGATATATGAAATGATCCAGTAATCTTCATTTCCTTGACCTAGCAGAAAATACCACTAAGCTAAAAGCAGGAGAACATTACCTCAAAACTGATACCGAATATATAGCAGTATTATATTTTCAGAAAGTGTATGACAAGTTTGAGCACAGTTAATTAGTGCAAGGAGCATTTGTGGATGATTTCATACACCATAGTTCAAAACAGAAGATGGGAATTGTTCTTCAAGATGCAATTAATAAAATTACAATGAGGCTTTTTTCTTTCTGTGGTTGACATTATTTATATGAGAAACCATTTTTGCATATTCTCTCTTTAAAACGATCTATAATGATAATTTAGAAAGTGCGGCAGTAATATTACTCTTACAGAAGAAAGCTATCTCCTTTGTTAGCAAAGCATCGGTGGGTCTCACATTAAACTCATATCCATATATACATATATATATAGGGGACCAAAAAAATGTATACACATTTTAAGAAAGAAAAAAACTGTATTAAAATTGTAATACTCAATATATACCGATAACAAAAGATGACTACAAGTCATGTGTCTACACTTTTTTGGCACCCCCAGGATATTTTTTTTACTACTCGTGGCATTTACATAAGTTGCTCCTCTTCTATGTACAGAAAATTATTGACTGAATAAAGGTAGTCTATAAGTTATTTTTGCCAAATTTTACCTGCTACCTCCAGGCAAAGTCAGTTTCCTATTTGCCTACTCACTTTTTTAAAAAATAAATTTTTGATTGCTGTTTGTATTTATTAATATTTAGTTACTTTATTAGGCCAAATGAAATCGGTGTTACTGTACACATAAAAAACATTGACTATAAGCAGTTTCACACAGTCCAAATTCATTTATTTGAAGTACTTTTTAAAAAACTGTATGTGGTGGGCCGGCCGAGTCGCATGATGGTGAAGAACTGGCTTGGGATGCCAGAGGGCCCCGGTTCGGATCCCACATATGAGAGCCAGTGACACTGCCCTCCACAGTTAAGATGCTGAACAACAGCTCAACCTGGAGCTGGGCTGCCGTGAGTTGCTGGCGACAGCATAGGCTGCAGCCCCTGCTGCAGTGTGTTGCCATGGGCTACCGTGTGTAGCCAGCAGCCAGCATGAGTGGCCAGCAGCCGCAGTGAGCGGCCGTCCAGAAGCCAGCGACAGATCTCACCTGGGAAGAGTGCAATGATGGTGCCAACTTGGGCCAGTGAAGCAACGTCCTCCACAACTAGATTGAAGAACAAAACCACAGCAACTTGTCTGTTCCCCTTCCCCCAATTCCCCAGCACTGTACCCATCCCCCCAATTCCCCAATAAAAAATCTTTTTTAAAAAAACACCTGTATGTGGCAAATATCTTCTATGAATTTCTGGTTTGTTTCTTTAAAATATCTTCTTAGGGGCTCTCTTTTATGCCCCAATGCTCTGTTTTCCGAATCCTGCATCAATACCATGTTTTTATGTATAAAAACTTTATAATACTTTACAATAAATCTTGATGTTTGTTAGGTTACTTTCCCTATTGGGTTCTTCAAGAGTATCTTGGCTATTCTTGCTGATTTGCTAATCTATAACAAATACAGAATCAGATGATCAAGTTCCATGAAAATTTCTATAAGAACTTAAGTAGAAATTATATTAAAATATAAATCAATTTTGAGAGAATTGACATCTTTATGATCTCCAGTCTTCTATATCAAGATTGTGGTTTTATTATTTTCTTTCACATAATGTTTTTATTTTAGCTACAGGAGATTTTTACACCTTTTGTTAGATTTATTATTGGGTGCTATATACATATATTTTGTTGCTGTAGCAAATATTTCCTTTTTAAAATTATATTTTCAAATCATTGTTTCTAGTGTGTAAGAGGTAATTGCTTCATACGTCGACTTTAATTCTAGTAATCTTCTAAGCCGTTCTTTTTACTTATAAAAAGACATCTCATCACAGGCTTCCACTTCAGCATGATAACGTGAGGAGCATGACCAAATTGTCCCCCGGTGATACTGGTGAAAATTATAAAAGAAAAACCATTTAACATCTGTGGAAATGGTCCTGGAGGCAAGCACCAACTGAAGAAACTTTATTCAAGAAAAGCTACCAGAGCCTGGTAAGAATGGTGAGACAGTTGTGGGAATCAGAACCCACTCCCCTCATCCCGTCTCCCAGCTCTGTGAGATGGGAAGTCCAGCCCAAACTGGTTCAACCAAGAGCACAGGGCTTTCCATCCCACAGCCAGCAGCTGCAGGGCGGGCTTAATAGGAGGGGCAGGGTGTCAGCAATTTTCATCCTGCTTCTACCTGTAGCTGAAGCTAAATTTTAGATCATTGTGGCCAAGTTCTTCTTCACAGCCTCTACCTGTGCACCAGAGGCTTTACCTGGGCGCTCCTACCCTGGGAGGAGAAAAGGGAATAGAAGGGTTCGACTGCCCTTGCCCTGGCCTGTGGCTTCCACACTAGGAGGAGCTAGAGAGGAAGACTTGAGGCGACCATCCCCCAGAACCACGTGTTCAGCTCCCATAGACGTGCCACTGGGAGAAACACACCGTGGTCTCCAACTCAGCTCCAGAGCCAAGGTCAGAGCTCACCTCAGGGGAGAAGCAGAGATCCTGGGGGAGAGATGGGGAGTTGGGGAGAGCCTGCCTGCCTCAGAACAAACCTGAAACAGCAATCAAGGGAAACGTGATTCTGAAGGAGTTCAAATTTGATTGGATTAGTCTAGAAAGTAATTTAGACTCCCACATTGAAAACAACACAGAAATTATCTGGCAATTAGTGAAGTTTAAAACCAAGGTGTTATCAGAGACAGAGACAAAGTGAGCCCTGTCCAAATCACCATCATTCTAGGTGACTGTGGGCAGACCCACGGCTGGGATCCCCTGAGGTGAAATATCAGAGGCTCAACACTGCTGTGGGGAAAATACACTGTACTGGAATAATACAGCCAGTCATTAAACAAATAAACAAACAAATAATAACAACAATCCCTGTGTGTCCTGGGGGTCCATGCCCAGATTTACTATAATATTAATATGTTATCTAAAATGGCCAGTTTCCAGCAAAAGATTATAAGATATACAAAGACCCATAAATCCAGGGGAAAAAAGTAGGCAAAAGGAACTGTCTCTAAAAGAACCCAGATATTAGATTAAATGAAACCTAGGAAAGCATTAGAAATGTGTTCAATAAACTAAAGTAAATCATGATTAAAGAAAAAAAGGAAGGTATGATAACAATGTCATATCTATACCAGGGATGCCAAGAAAAAAGCATACACAAGCGGACACTTTGGTCAATGTTGCTCAAGCAGCAGTTCACCATAATCAGAAGTGTCTGGACGCTGATGGTAACCACTTTGAGAAGCTCTTGTAATTGCAGAAGTCAAACGTGCCTTGTATTCATCTTTTGTTATCGGTGTATATTGAGTATTACCATTTCAATATAGCTTTCCTTTTTTAAAATGTGTACACATTTTTTGGATATATATATACACACACACACACATCTCAAATGGAAGCTTTGGAGGTGAAAAGTACAATAAC